TGTATCTGGCGCAGAAACTCGGAGATGAACTTGTGAATACTCTAGGATGCATTGCATCTATTTTTCCAGCCCTTTTACTGTACATCTACATGTCACTGTCACGATGATGCCCCTGATATTTTTAACGAGTTAATGAGATATTCCATTGCATACATGGAGGCATACAGCTACTCTCGGTGTAATGTATTGAAGTGTTACTTGAATTTTACATAGCAGACTCTGGAACCAAATATGTAGTGAGCTTAAATCTTTAGTAAATCACAGGTTGCCAGACAGCTTTCCTTCCCTATCTCCGAGGCAACTACTTTGATGCTGTAGCTAATTATACGCGAAAGGGTCAAATGCTCCAGGAACATCCGTAAATAACCCACCCATATCGTTGCTTAGGTCTAACTGAGGCGCCTCGAGACCAGAGTTCTGGAAATACTGGTCTAACAAGAGCTAGGAGAGAGGTAGATAGTTAGATATTATTCATAATCAATTCAATCTCCATGAAAGGACTTACCCAGTCCAATGTCTCAGACCCATCAATCATTTCCGACATTGGCTCCATGTAAGGCAACTCCGGGCTCACTCGAGGAATTTCCATAAACGCAGCGTGATCACACGAGAAGGTAGCCTGACGCTCAGCCACCTTCCGGGCCATCAAGTCTAGCGCCAGCGATGCAATGCGAGATTCCGGCGAACGATGGCTGTTAGCAGCCCAAATGCGTTGGGAGGTTTTCAGCGCGGCAATCTCTCTTGAAACAAAGCCGTGGTCTACGCGCTCGTCTACAAACGCTGTTGTATGAGACTCGAGACGCACAGATATATCCAGACATATGACCATTGCAGCTAAGAGGAAATCGTGAATTGTCAGTGAGGAAAGCATCCACTGGTCTTCGTGCAGACGGCCACCTGGCTGAAATGCTTGATGCAAGTCTACTTGGCGGGCGAGGATTTCAAGAGCTGCTTCCACACAAAAGCGTCGTGAAGTCTCGAATTTGGCGTCTTGGTGTTCGTATCGGATATACCGTCGGTGTAGAACGACGAGTCCTTTCAGGTACAGGAGTTCGATATTGCATCGGTTTAAAATTATCTCGGATGAATCCATGAGGGATTGACTGGTGTCTCTCCGTTTTAGGAAGTCAGGAACCAGACTGTAAGCCCCTCGCATCTCGGCATCCAAAGTAAGGGTCCTGCTGTAAGATGGTGTTGCGAGCGAGATTGTATGGGCAACGATCTTTTTGAAGATTCTCATTACACCGGCCTTGGAGGTAAAATAGAGGAAAGGGGTGTATTCCGAGGACGGGCGAGATGGAGGCAATGCCGACATCCGAACCTGGAGATCGGCGTCGTTTAAGTTCCTGGGAACATGTGTGTCACAACACTCAGCCGGTATCATGCTTGGAAGGCCTAGCTGGAAACTCAAGAGCGCATCCAGCTGGAAGATATGCAGCCACAACCGACGTCTCATTTCGCTATCAAATGGTGTCATCGTCCCGGGAGAAGTGCTGGGGTCACGGTGGTAGCCCATGCGGAACGCTAACCTCAGTATGATCCCCATGTCGAACCATTGCCGGCAGCCGGTTTTCATGTCACCCAAGAAGCCACTCTGAATATACAGAAGCAATGCCTCTAGTGCGTAGGCATTGGCTACTCTATATCTTCCCAGCAAGAGGCATTGGGCTGTCTTCTGTTGAAGGGTATCGGGCGATGGAATTGTACCATTCAAAGCCCCGTCTGCGTTCATTTTCATGAAGAAATGGACTGATACACTAATGATACCGAAAAGAAGCGCGACCCAAAGCACGGGAGCTTTGTGCGGTGCTTTCCAGAATTCTTCATACTGTCACGAGTCAGTCAGGATAAGGATTGTTCCATCGAGTAGCTTCAAAAAGGAAGTACAACACAAAATATATAACTCACTTCATCCTGAAATTTGCCCGAGTGCACAATACCTGTCAGTGTCCTGGAATCAGCGGGATATACGATGGAGGGTAGTTGCAAATGATATCTCACCTAGTACCATGAACGGAGCATTGAAATATCGAGAGACCAACATATCACAGATAGGGCGCGTTGGGAGCGAGGTAAGAATATCATTGATGTTCAATCGTGCTTCACTCCCAGGAGCAAGGCTCAGATCTGATTGTCCACTTCCACTGTCGTTTATCGGCTCGCTGAGCGAAAAGGGATCAACGGTAGACAAGCTTTCTCGGACTTCCTTGATATCCTCCAATATAGAAGACCAGTGACTGGAATCAACGTGGCTATTTTTACCACTATGAGCATTGAAATTACTGGATACCACTTTCTGTTGGAGAGGTTGGTCTCCGGTGCGACGTCCATTGCTGGTAGCCAACCCAGCCGCGGTGACGGAAACTCCATGAGTACTAGGAACGCTTCCACTCTCACTAATTGTATGTGTCCCTTCTGGTTGTGGCTGTGGGTTTGTCGAGGACACATTCTCTCCCCCGACAAATGATTGGATTGTATCCTCGAGACGCTTCAGTCTATCGCTCAAGGCACGTTCCCTTGAAGCACGCGTCTTACCGCGTACAGCGTTAGAAGCGTATGTGCAATTAGATTCCACATTGCGTTTGATACATGTATCACAGGGTAGAGATCTGTTGCATTTCAATCTAGGGAAAGTGAGTCTATGAGGTCAGATCCTGGGAGTAGTATGCGATGCATGCTTACTTCCGTGTGCGACATGATTCGCAGGACAGAGGCGGTCGATTTCGTTTTTCAAATTTCAGAGTCATTTCCATGAATGAGTTTAGTTAGTCAAGCGAAAGTCTCAAAGTTATTTTCGTAACAGATTGACAACTTATCTTGGAGTATAAAAAAGAAGGGGGGCGATTCGAAGCGGAGATATTATCTCCATCCCCGCCAGGTCTGTTATTTAACGGTATTGATACCTTAGATCCATAATTACACACCTTTTTCCGCAAACGGATGTGCGTAATATATACGTAGTAGACGGAGATAATAAAACCCTACAAGGCGTCTTTCAGCCTCCTTTACAGAGTTAAATTGGAATGACGAGGATGGATATAATAAGTCCGAATGCTGAAGGAAACGGCTTCCTTTTAAAGCAACCAGAAAAGTATCCGTTGAATCTTGAACAGTGATACTTCGCTACTACAATTCGCAACCTCTTCCATTGTCTTGTTCATATTCATTCGAATTCAATCAAACAAGACAGAATCATGCCTTTGATTTCATCTCTAGAGGGCCTCTCATCAACGGTGTTCTCCAACACCTTTATCGAGCTCCCATACCCCAAAGGCGATCTCAGCGGACAAACAATCATCGTAACCGGTTCAAACCAAGGACTCGGTCTCGAGGCCAGCCGCCACCTGTTGCGCCTAGGCGTGGAGAAGCTAATCATGGCCGTACGCGATCTGAAGAAGGGCGAAGCTGCAAGACAAGAACTATTACAATCCACCAGCCGCGAAGAAAGCTCAGTCGAGGTGTGGCTGCTGGACATGGATAGCTATTTTTCAGTCAAAAGCTTTGCCAGCCGTGCTGCAGCTCTATCGCGTCTTGATGCCCTGCTAGCAAATGCAGGGTTAGCAACCAATACATTCAGTATATCGGAAGAGGACGAGAAAACCATTACCGTCAACGTGGTGAGCACGTTCTTGCTTATTTCCTTACTGGTTCCCAAATTGCGAGAGTCGGCTTCCAAGTTCAATATCACACCTCGCATCACCATTCCAAACTCGGCTCTGCATTACATCGCTTCTCTTGAGCACCTGGATCCGCAAAAAGAGGGCGGTATCTTCAAATCGCTCAACAACAAAGAAGCTTCCAATATGACGGGTCGATACCCATTGTCAAAGCTGCTGGTGGTATTTGGTGTGCGTGCATTCGCAGATCAGCTTGCACAGAGCAAAGCACCACTGGTTATCATCAACACGCCAAACCCCAGTTTCTGCAAGTCTCAATTGGTGCGGGAAATGGACAATGTCGGTTTCCGTGCTTTTGAAAAGCTGCTGGCTCGCAGTACGGAGGAGGGTAGTCGGGCTTTGGTACACGGGATCATGGCTGATGACAAAAGTAATGGGCAGTATTTGACAAACTGTCGTGTTCACAGGTCAGTTGGTTGTTGATGTCTGTTTAGGGAAATCAAGTCAGCTAACTCTGTTCTCTAGCCCATCTTGTATCGTGACCGATAAAAAGGGAGTTTTAATCCAGGAAGCGTTTTTCGAGGAGTTGGTTACCAAGTTAGAGAAGATTGCACCAGGCGTGACATCTTGTTTCTGAGGTCATGTCCTTCGTTTGTTGATATGCTGGGAACTATGTTGCACTTTGGGCTCTGTCGTGGGCAGATATAGGTTTAATGATAGAAAATGAGGAATTATATGGCGATATCGACAATCCGATTCTTGCTGTCACAAAGACATGCAGTCTTGTAGGTTTGGGTACAAGCCAGATCAGTCCCACGGTAAAAGCGGAGGAAATACGACGAAGCATCAAGCGGGGGACTACGTGACAATGCACCCAGGTAGGTGATAGGGGGAAAAATAAAGTCGAGATATATGCATTCACTTCAAGTTAAGCTATATGTGTGATGTCGAGAGAGAATAAATAAACCACACTCCATCTATCAATTTTCCAGCTAGTCAATACTCCCGTAGTTGCTCTGAACCTCCCTAGAGAAGCCCGAGTAACATACGATTTCTCTCCTGTTCTGATAAAATTGAAGGAGGGCAGCCAGAGAAGCTCTCTTTTGATCTTGGACTTCAGTTGGTGAGTGATACCACGGTTTCCCATCTCACGAGACAGGGGTATGCACCTTGGTATTTTTCCTGGGGGTAAACCCACAAGAAATTGGAAGCCCGTAGGTCAGAGGCAGGAGGAAGGAAGAAGAAGAAGAGGGAGAGAAGGAGGGTTTTAATAAGGACTAGGGTGCCTAGGGGAACAAACAAAACAAACAGTTGAATGGTCTTTCCTGACAAGTACATACATAGGTGAAGTTGAGTCTAGATAGCCCTTCAACTCTTGCAAAACTATCCCATTCGTGAAGCTTTGAACTTACTGACACGTTTGGGTTGATCTTCTTCAGGAGGGAAAGTATCCTGTTCCTCGTCATCTTTCGATGTGCCGTTGAAGCGTTTTTGCATATTGAAGAACTCCGACGCAATCTGCTTCTGGTGAAGCTCTTCGTCATAGTGGTCTAATTCAGGAGCCACTGCAGCCCCTGTTTTGACCTGTCGCTCAAAGACCTTTTCGGCCAGAGTTCGGTCATGTGGGAATTGAGGCGGAGAAGGTTTCTCAACGACATCGGAGATCGGTGTGGAGAAGGGTTTGGGCTCTTTTGGTGTCGCAGGGAAGAGGACCGGAGGTACCACGGATGGAGCGGTATTGGCCTGTTTGCGAAGGCGGGATTCGGTGACTTCAGAGGGGTTTGCAATTGTAGCCCCGGCAGTAATAGATTCACTAGCAGTACTACCTAAAGCAGCGGCCCGAGCACTTTTGAATCGCGACGTCTTCTTGGGAACAGCGGGGGTGGCTGGAGAGGGCTCCAGGGCATGGCTGGTCCGTTCAACAATGGAATCAGCAAGCACCTGAGGCTCGGCCTGAGAAGCAGGAGCCTTCTCGGCGGCGATGGAGGGTGCGGGAGCTGGTGCGATATCAAGGTCATCGGCGAACGCAACTCGTTTCTTAGGCTTCTTCTTCTCTTGGGTGGAAGTTTCAACCTCAGAAGGTGTTGCGATCTCTTGCTGCACTTCCTTGGGGAACGTCTCGGTATCCTTGCCCATGTTCATCAAGCCTCGGGCATTGAGCTTGGCCTCCAATTCCATCATCTGCTGGTGGTATTCCGCCGGAAGGCGGGTGTGAGAGCGACCATGTTCATCTTCGTTATCTTCCTCGTCGTAGTCGTAATCGTAGTCCTCGTCGAAGGAAATGTCACTTCCGGACTCGTCCATTTCCAACTCTGCCACAATAGCCCCCACCTCGTTGATTCCATAGTCGAGCATTTCACGGCGGAGTCTTGCTTCTTCCGCAGATTCATTCACGTCCGTGACAGGTGGCTGCATGCGATCTTCGGCGGTCACCACGGACTGGGGCTGAGAGAATTTCAGGGATGCGCCAGTTGGCTCCGTGGTTGTAATGTCGCTCGAGGAACCATTCTGCTGATCTGTAGCCGTTGAGCTGGCTGGCTCATCCACCTTGCCTTCGCGTGTAGTAGCATTGGCGGGAGTTGCAGCTATCGGCTCACTCGTCTCCGGGATATCCTTGACACCAGCCTTCTTCAGCACATCCAGCAATTCCGAAGCATCATTGCCAGGTGTATTGATCTTGCTCGAGACAACGTTTCCATCCTCATCAAGCTCCTCCATAATCTCCTGCATCGGGAACTCCGCACCGTCCTGCAGCGGTGGCTGATCATTCAAGACCAAAGCGTGCAGCTCATTTTGGGCCTTCGAAAGCCTCTTTTCCATAGTCGCAACGTTCTGCTGCACGTAGTCGATGCGTCTTCCAAGAAGATCAACTACTTGCCCGCGAGACCGAGTCACACCTTGCGAACCAAGTATTGTCTGCATTTCCTTTTGGTCCACCAGCGTGCCACCGAATTCCAGGGCCACAGCAAAGAAGTCGTCTGTGCTGGCGTCATCTTCTAGGTTGCTGATCTCCTCGCGGAGTCCATCGTATTCTGCTTCCCAGGTTCGCCAGTGGTAGAGTGATTTTTGAAGTTGGAGGATGTTTTCTTCGAGCGCGAGGCGCTGCTCCTCGAGAGCGTCGAGGTTGGGGTTCGGTACTCCCATGGTTGTGAAATGCGAAAACTCAGTGGCAGTTTTGCACAGGCAATGTAAATTGAATGAAACGGAGCAAAGAGAGGGGTTGCCGGAGGCAAAAAAAGAAAAAAGTCGCAAAAAGGTGATGATGATGTGGTCCGTGCGCATAAGTTGCTTATCAGCCTCAAGCCAGTCGTGGTCCATCTCTCCCACGTCACTTTACTCTCACCATGGCCTCCGATGCGGCTTCTCGCCGTGATGAAGACGGTAAGGTCTTGTTCAGCTTTGTCGCGATATATAATGCTAACTACATCTTTTCACAGAGGTTTGCCCTGTCTGCAAATCATCACGATACCTCAACCCGGACATGCGCTTTCTCATCAACCCGGAATGCTACCACAAGATGTGCGAGTCGTGCGTGGACCGCATCTTCTCATCCGGTCCTGCAAACTGTCCGGTAGCTGGATGTCGCAAGACGCTGCGTAAAAATCGGTTCCGCAAGCAGACATTCGAAGATATCGGGGTGGAAAGAGAAGTAGATATCCGGCGGCGTGTGATGCACATGTACGTCTCTTGCTAAATACCCCCGAAGAACCCTGTGGTATGCGAGGACTAACAGTTTATCTCAATCAGCCTGAACCGCCGTGAAGAAGAGTTCGACTCAAAACGTGCATACGATGACTTCCTCGAACAAAGAGAGGACATAATCGCGAACCTAGTAAGCCGGATCGACGTGGCGAAGACCGAAGCCCAGCTCCAAAAATACGCCGCAGACAACATGCAATCAATCCGCACAAACCAAGCCATAGAAGCCGAGGAAGCCTCCTCCTTCCAAGCCCGCATGACCCTCGAACAAGAAGAAGCCCGACTGCGCCGCCAAGCAGTCCGCCAGGAATACGAGACCGAGCGACGCGAGATCCAAGCCGGACGCGAAGATTTCCTCTCAAGACTCGCCTCCGGTTCGTCAACAGATGCCGCAGCCATCGCGCGCGAAGGACACAAGGTACTACTCAAGAAGTCGTCCGCGCGCCGCAGCGAGGAAGAACGCATTCGACAGAAACAGGCTGCGCTGCGGTCGGAGACCAAGCGCGGGACGAATCTTTCTACGGCGGATCATGCTGGGGCGGCGGATACGGGACTTGTCAAGGGTCTGCGCAAGATCAAGACGCCCGAGCCAGAGAAACCGTACGATCCGTTTATGGGCTATGTGGCCGACAAGCGCGATTATTATACTCTCCAGTCGTATTATCCGTCGCAGTATCTTGATCCTATTCGCAATGATGCGCGCATGCTGGCTGGTGGTTATGATTTGCGTGAATACTACTCGCGTACCCTGCTTGAGGCTTTTGCTGGGTTGAGCTGCTTTGTTGGGGAGGAAATCTCACAGCGAGATGCTGCTAATATTTCAAAGTCGACGGCTACGGAGGGTGCTGCTATGGCCGTGGAGGGTGGGGAGAACACTGCCTAAATGCCACTTCAACTTGGTTTGCAATGGCTTTGGGGCTTGCATGGTATTGGATTCTTTTATAGCACAGCGATGGCGTATTTTTCTTCTTCTGTTCGCTTGGGGTATCCCAGCCACTGCATATGATATTACCGTCATCTAACCAAAATGTGACAAAGATATTGAGATTGATACATACAGCATACAATAAGTAAACGGTCGGAAAGGGAGCTACCGCTACATTGAACTCTTGAAGGGGGGATGGAAAAGGTTATTTCCAAGGCCGCGATACGACCGAATGACATTTGAGTATCAAGAACTACCTAACCAACAATCGATTACCCAAATCAATGAATTAAACATACAGATGGAACCATACTCCATGAACCAGCGCCAAAGTAGCATCAAAATAACCAGAATGGTATAAACATACGCAATGCGATGCAATAAACTCAGTGGCCGCCCAGAGAAAGGTGGCCAGTCATCTCACCAGTGCTCTCAATACCCTCCCAGGGCAAATCCTCCTCATCATCCAAGTCAATCTGGCCGTGGCGAGAAGAGTTATCGGTAGTACCAGTGACATCAGGCGTATGGGACATGCCGACATCAATTCCAATTGACTCCAGAGTCACTTCCATTTCTTGCTCGGTCATCTCACGCCCGTCTTGCTTTTGGCCCTCCAGAACATCGTAAAGAGCGTAGATTTGGTCGGACTTCATGTCAATGTCCTTGAAAATTTTGTCAATCTTTTCTTGCAGGGCTTTGCGCGGGCGCTTGCCGAGCGATGGGTCAAGCTTGTTGTAGGCGCTTTGGTATGTGGCCAGTTGCATCTTGAGGTGAGAAAGTTCGTCCTCCAGGCCCTTGAGAACAATAGCAAGAGCGACGGCAGGGGGTTGCGAGGGGCGCATAGTTGGTTCTTCATTCCAGACGGATGGCTTGGGCATACGCCCTGACACAGGGATGGGCTTGGCAACCTTCACGGACTCGTGGTTGCAGGTGCCGTCAGCGGAGTGACCGTTGCAAACTGTGCAGTTCTCTCCATTGTGTCGAGCAATGGTATCCAATGCTTTTTGGGTGGCTTGTGGCAACTTGGATGGATCAGCGGCCGCTAGGTCGACGTGGTGGAGGGTAATATCAGGAAGGATGAAAGCGGAGGTCACGTCAGTGGCATTTCGCTGCTTCCTGCGCTGGGATACTGCGGGCAACGAATTTTCTGAATGACGCCGAGAACGATCGGCAATTGGTACTGTAAGACTACCGTCTCCATCGGTATTGGCCTTTGAGGCGGTGGTAATGTCTCCAGTAGCAGAGGCTGGGCGAGGGATTTCTGCTTTGGAATCGCGAAGTGATGACTTGCGAGGGGCAGGAGTTTTCAAAATGCTCTGTCTAGTCGAGTTGACGGTTTCTGTAGGATTGGATTCCTTAGGGGCACTCGAACGTCGTTGCTTGCGGATCATCCTTTCTTCTTCCAATGTCTTGCGTAGACGAGAGATTTCATGTTCATCAATAACACTCAAGAGGGTAACGTCTGTTTCGGATGAAGCCTTAGTCTGCTCAGACACCTCCGGCCCAGCCACATCTTCAACTACCACTCGCTTCACACGCTGTTTGCTCGTGTTGGGTTGTTTACGGGAGCTTTTTGAGTCGGCCGAGCGAGACACAGCTGACTTCGATGGCTTAGAGGTCGATGTACGTCTTGATGATGGCATCTCAATAGAGAAAAGGGCCTCATCGGCACGTTGCTTCTCAAGGCGAGAAATTTCCTTATTCACTTGGGTAGACACCTTCGAGCGGGAGTCATCCTGGCGTCTGGTTCTCGTAGTGGAGCGGTTGCTCTTCGATGTACCGTCTCTGGTGCTCCGGCTAACGTCCCCACTGGGTTCAGTGTAAGATTGGCTGTCGTCGACATCATCAGACACGGCTGAACTAGCTTCGGACTCGATGGTGTCCTGTTCGCGAGCCTTGCGGCCCAAGGTTCGGCTGAGCTGGGACTTGAGTTCTGCATTTTCCTGTCGTAATTCCTCGTTCTCGGCCTTCAGCTCTCGAGTTTCGAGATAAGCGGCTCCAAGTTGTGAGATAGCCGACTCTCTGTCATGGTTCAAGCGCTTGATGGCAGACTCCTGGACCTGCGCCTTTCGATCGGCAATATCCAACTGGTTTTGTAAAGCGAGATTGGCAGCGTCTAACTTCTGGTTCTCATTTTCCAAACGCTTAGATCCCTTTCTGTGCGAATTATCATCTGATTCGTACTTCGCTGATGACTGGCGAGGTCTGTTCGCCTTCAAAGATGAATTCTCCTGGCGGTAACTGTCCATTCTTCTCTCTGCTTCGGACTTGAACATCTCCAATTCTGCCACTTTATCCTGAAGTAGTCTCAAATGAACAAACAAAGCCTTCTCATCTTCGGGGACAGGCACTGCATCAAGCGGCATGTGCTCGTGAGGGAGAGACACGTCTGTGTGGTCATGAAGTGGGGACACAAATCGGGTAGAGCGCATCTTGCCCTGTCGGGAGTAAACAGGTGTGCCATCTTCGTACACACCGGAGACGAGTTCAGAGATGTTAGGGAGGTCGGGAAGAAGGAATGATTGATGGGTCATGGTATCACCAACAGTGTTGGTGTTGGTTGCATTAGCACTGCTTTTTCGGGGAGTTCCTGCGGAGTTGGAAGTCGATTTGCGGATTTCCTTCGCGTAGGCGTCCCGCGAAGCTCGCTCAATTGCGTCTGCAATCTCCTGTGAGGTGTTTGCGTTTCCAAAACGCGTCGAACGCGTCTTCGTGGTGATAGGAGCAGGCCGTTCATCTCCCAAAAATGAGCCCTCGTAGCTGTCACGCACTTTGGCGTGCATATCGGAGAAGGTCCGGCGCTGGTCGCGTTGAGCCTTCGAGACTTGCGGACTCATAGTTTCTTTCTGTGCTTGGGTCGCTCGTCGCACCTGAGCGTTCTTGCGTAGATTTTCACTAACAGCACGACGCGATGGACGCGTGGCAGTAACTGGCTTTTGTGGTGTGGGGTATTCAACGCGAATGGCGGGTGATGATGAGCGTACACTATTTTCGAAGCTCATCATAGAGCTGCGCGAGTCGTCGCGTTCTGGTTTTTCAGCACCGCGTCCCACCTCGACGGACATGTCGAGATCGCTATGTGAAAGATCGTCGTCCAACTCGTGTTCCTCCTCTTCGGAGGTCTGTATTTGCGAAAATTCGGGGAAAGCACGGTCAAGTGTTGATGTGTTGATATCGTAGTCAAGCTCCTCATCGACACGTCGTGTTGAGGTGCCCATTATTTCGTCGTCCAAATTGGTGAGCGAAAATGAATCGTCGTGTAAACCAGAATTTCTGTTCATTGGAGGCATTCTAAGTGTAAAAGGGTGAAGTTGAAGATTGGAGTTGGTTTGTTTTGGAGCAAAGTTGGAATGTTTGGGTCGGGCGCGTCTCGGCAACCCCGGGAATTCTGATTGGTTGGATTCCCCCCACAGCCGAAGTACAGAATCGAATTGTTCAACTTCTTTATTTCTACTTAAACAGATGTACTAGATGGAGAGAAGTTTATTATATTTGCTGGAAATACTAAGAGTAGTGCCAA